GGCCCGCCCGCTCGTGTAGGCCCTTTTGGCGCGCTTCAATTTGCCTCACTTAGCGTGCGCGGACTAGGTTTCTATGCGTTATTATTCTAAGCCTTGATACCGACATATTTTTGTTATAATTGTTATTATTATTGTGATGTATCAGGTTTTTGATAAACGTCAAAATGAAAATTACTTATAATAAAAGATGGCGCCTTATATTACGCGTGAAAGAAATAAAAAAATATTTTGAGAAAAGCAAAAGCGTGTATTTTATTTAAAAAAAGTGTTCTACGATATACCAATACTGTTGTTAACCATATATACATTTTTCGTGTTTGTCTGCTATATTCGTTATATATCTCCGTAAATAATCAAAAACTTGGCATGGGTGTATTGTATTGAATGAGTAGTAATTGAAATAAAAAAATGTTTAAAAATATGTAAAATACGACTACGTGAGGAATAGTGTGATCAGTAAACGATGCGGTTTGAAAGAGGAAATAGTGACAAAAATAAAGGTACGTTGAAGAGGTTTGGGCACAACGATGTTTGGGCACATGAAGCGGATGAATGAAAGTACAGAGGCAAAGAAAGAAGTAGGCATATAGATACAACGTGGAAGAGGTCCATGAAGGACGTGGTGAGTTCGTGACAAGAATAGGAGGGCTTTTATCAAAAGATTGAGGGACATAACTGAGGGGTTTGCCTTAACCATGCAAATGGCGGTCCATTCTATGTAGTTTAAGTAAGATGTCGCTAGATGGCGTTGAACCGATTTCGTGAATTTTCTAAAACGCGTTAACAAAATTGTATTCACTGTAGAGAGATTTACAATATAAATGAACTTCCATTCCATTGGAATATTTAATATATTTCTTTTAGTGTTTGTGGGACGCGAGTATATTTATGAATGTATAATAATTACCTGTAGTACGGCAGGCTTGTCGTAACCAATCAGTTTTACTACTGGGAAACCATTCCCTGAGTTGTCTTTGACAGCGCCACGACTGCCTTCAGTCTGATATCTGCAAACAAGAAACAAGCAATTATTAATGACAAATTAAAATTCAAGACGAACGCCATTGCGATCTGACAATGATTACATTTTTTTTAGGAAACTTTTCTTCGACCGAGCGTTAAACAATTAATAGCTCCTGCGGATGCCTGTTAAAGACACGACACGGTGACCTATCACAAAGTCGACAATTGTTTTGTCCGAAATAACATTTGTTCGAAATTTCATTACACCGAAAACCGAATTATAACGAAACAGTTGTTCTTTCAGGATATGTTGAATGTTTATCGTAAAGAAACGATTAGGTTCGGTTAGGTTGGGTTAAGAAAAAACATTTTCCTCTCAAAATTACTTTCGAGGTTATGAAATTTCGACAAAGCGTTATTTCTGGAAAATGTCATTTCGGACGTGTCGTGTCGGGTTCGAAGTGGTAATTGTCATTGCTAATTAATTATTGGTAATTATTCGATAATTACACCTTGATATTTATAAAATTAATTGGAATAACGAAATGCTACCGCTAGCAACGTCGTGCCATGTCTGTATCCCAGACGTATCCAAACATGGTGAATGTGTAAATCTCAAAAAAGTCAATAATAATTTCAAAACCAACGATTTATTCGGTAGTCCAGATTCGGTACCGCGCTCTGTTCAGTTCCTTGTAAATAGGGCGACATACATACCCTTATTTAGTTATGTAAATAGCATAGTAGGCGTAAATATGCCTTATTCACTTTAGTTTGTAGTTCTTTTTAAAGTGTTAGCTCCGTCTGTCGATACAAATGACGATGACATTATGAGTGACCAAAACAAACAAAATTGACAAATGATAAGGATTTGACGTTACAATATAATTAATATTATCGCGACTTTTTCGTATCCTGGATAATTAATATTTTGAACTAAAAACTTTACACAGCTCTTATTGAAATACTGAAGACTTAAACTGAAGGATCTTACACTGAAGATTTAAATCGAAACATATTTACTGAAGAAAAAGAGAAACTAATGACTAGGCAGTATGGTCTCTGATCTTCGCCCGATCCAAACGGAACGAAGGAAATAAAACAACGATTTACTATTTATAAGTGTATTGGCTATAGCGAGTTTAGCAAGAGTATGACAGACAATAAGAATGGTTTTAAACTTAGGCTTTGTTCAGAGTGGCGGCCGGCGCGGGTGCGTATAAATCAAATGTACGTAGAAGCTCGTTGCGTTTACAGTGGCCACACGTGACGGCGCCTGCCTCGAGGCAGGCAATCCGGCTCCCCCCCGAATGGGTTCCTGCCTTGTCGTAACGGGGAGGGCTCTAGTAGCCGTGGTCGATTTCATCCCACGGTGAAGCTAAGAGGAACTCACAGGCCGGCCGCTGGAGCTAGGCTGGCCTGAGGAGGATGGCGTACCGCGCGGGCTCGACTTGATCTAGGCCGAGCGGGTCTGCGTAGACCCATGTGGGGAGGAGGGTCGCGGGGGAAGAGACGTGTCGGTGTGTCGTTGCCGCTTGTCCTGTTCTCCGCTGCCGAATTTGGGCGATTGGCCCGTGCGGTAGGCGCTCCAAGGGATCTCTACGGAGAGTCCACGTGGATACGCGTAGGGTGTTGCGGTGGAGCCTACCTCTACCTCTACCTCTGAACTTCACAGTTGAGAAATTGTTGTCCTGGCCCCTGGCCTGGGGCTATGTGGGACAGGGTTCAGCCCAGTCCCACATAGCCCCGGCTCTGCCCCCGCAGGACCGGGGTATCTGTAAGCAGATTCCCTCGGGTAATAAAAAAAAAGCAATCCGGCTCGGTCCGCTCGTATCTTTCACAGTACTTACAGCTTGATTTTGATTGCCTCTCCCGATCGGAAACTGTGTCTCTTCTGAGTCGAGGCGCATAATTGCGATTCACACAATAACTGACCGATTGGAAACTTCAAATCAAAAGAAAATTTCAAATCGGATGCATCGAAACTGACACTGGCCCAAGCCTACGCCGCCATTAAGGAAATATTAAATAAACAAACATCTGTCTTGTCGAGAGTTCATGGTTAGTTGTTTGGATTTGCCACTCAAGAACATCGAGTCTATTACCAGACAAATGAGACGAAATAAGGGCCACCCGTCCCTGGCAACTCATCAGGCAAATGGGCCTTATATCACTTTTAAATACCAACTCTCGTTTGCACTGAAATCATAAATTCGAAAGCTGAAATAATACAGCGCCAACAACTGACCTGTGTGTACGTCTCCGTATATTAAAAAAATATTCTGTATTTATTGTAATAAAGATAATATTTCTAACTGTTCCATTCGGTGGTGTGGGAAAAAGAGCATAAAATCTAATTACAAAACAAACGGAATCACATTTATCCGGTAATTAGGTAAATATTAAATATGTAATTTTTCAATTATCGTCCATTATAGCAAAGTTCAAGTTAACTGGTGGATTTGAAGTGAAACTATTGACGCTGCTGGCCAATCGGAGCGCAGTTGTCATCGTAATGATTTGGCAGAATAGTTATTCTCATTTACATTTCGTCTCTATTTCTGGTTATGCACTCGATGCTCAAGGCAGTCTCCGACTGGGGCGACGCCAATCTTGTTCAATTTAACGCTATCAAAACGCAGGCATGTCTATTCTCCACAAAATGGCTCCCTTTGACTAGACTCCGACTTTTCGTGATATATCCATACCCGATAGACGACTGTTATCAGCAACTTGGAATGGACATGTCATCCAATTTGAATTTCGGCAGATACACAGAATCCATGGCCAAAAGTACAGCCAAAAAGCTTGGCATCCTTTCCATGGTGAGGTGTTACTTCACACCGGGACAGTTGCTTCAGCAGTACAAAACACATGTCTAGTCGTGTATGTAGTACTGCTGCCACATTGGAATCCATCGACAAGCGTGCCAAGAGGCTTATAGGTAACTCGGAATTAGTAGAGGCGAATTGCAGAGCCTTGAATACTGCCGTAAAGTTGCCCGCTTCTCATCGCGTATTCTAACAGGATATATCACGGAGAGTGTGTGAGGGAATTGCACGGGTTAATTCCGCCTTCCCCTTTCCATCATCGGGGCACCAGGCGTAGGCTGGGTTTCCATCTCTATGTTGTGGATATTCCAAGGATTGGCACAAAGCGTTTCGCTACGACATTTATATGGCGAACAGCTATGGAGTGGAATTCCCTGCATGTAGACTATAACTTGGACCTTTTCAAGGCGAGTAGTGAATAGGCATTATTTGTGTGCATGCTCGTCGCAAAAGGAAGCCGCTGAGCGGGTGCGCGAGGACGCGGCGGACGCGCACCCGCTCCGGCGCAGACGTACGGGGAGAAGGCGAAGGCAGTTCGCTGCTCGCCTGATCCCCTAGTGAGACCAGCGGGCTCTGGACAGGGACTCCGGAGCCTGCATTGCACGGCCTCACTCGTCTGGGGGGCGGGTCGGAGGACAACCGACTCGCCCCTCCGTTGGCGCGGGAGCCCTGGCGTACTGATCCCACGGCGCCGACTCAACCGGCGAGAGGGAAACCCGGGGGGGTTTTAGTGGGGTAGGCCCTCCAGCCTGGAGGGAGAGTCCCCACATAACCCCTGAGTCTCCCTGGGCTCAGGGTATACATAAAGATTTCGCCCCGTCAAAAAAAAAAATCATCGTCACTTTCCATAAGGTGAGATGGAAGTCAAATACGCGCTTATTTTTTATTAATAAAGTTTTTACGTAAGTAAATCTTCTACCGCTGTTAATGGTCGATACTTTTTTTTTTTTTTGAGAACTAAGTAAACATTACACACTGGAATTACTAATAAAGCCATGTGTGATCCCACGTTAAAAGAAGTCATAAAAACAACACGAACTACAGGAAACAAATTACATAGGTACATGCATTGACTTACAATTATATGGACGTCGGGTCCGCGCCAAAAAGTGTCCGCACTTGTAAGGCGCTAAAATCGTATACAGAGCGCGACACTCCGCTTTACTCTTCATTTGTTCTACTGACAGCGCGATACTGCGATGACATTACAATTTAAATTTCGAATAGGTTGACTTGGGACATTTTTTTCGTGGTTTTTGTATTAGACCCGTCGTCCATTTATTTGTAAGTCAATGGGTACATGTGAAATTTTATTACTCTCCTATTTAAGCATAATACATTTATCCATTGACTTACAAATAAATGGACGACGGGTCTAATACAAAAACGACGAAAAAAATGTCCCAACTCAACCTATTTAAACATAGTGACATGTAAAGGAATATGAAAAAGCTAAAACGTTGAATTTAAATTGTAATGTCATCGCAGTACTGTCTAATTTTGCTTGCTTCACTGCCAGTCGAACAAACGAAGACTAAAGCGTCATTCACCGCTCTGTATACGATTTTAACGCCCTATAAGTTCGGACACTTTTTAGCGCGGACCCGACGTCAATATAATTGTAAGTCAATGCATTTATCGGTCAATTTCGTCCGGATAATGTTAAAACCCCCTCTCCTGAAAAGCTGTAATTTTGCAGATGTTGATTTATTACATCAAGGAGGAGAGTTGTCTAAATCAAATTTCGATTGTGTTATTAAAGCGTGACACATACAGAGAGCGGGTGCAACACACCGACAACATAACGAGTGCGGGCGTGGGACTGGTGCGCGCTCGGTGTGATGTCGTCCATATAAATACGACGGCATTAGACCCGCTGTGCACCCGATCCGACACTCGCCCGACCCGCACCCTCCCTCTGTGTGTTTCACGCGTAATAGTTACGACTTTTGCTAAGTATTTGTAATAGTGATGTGGATAAAAGAAGTTATTCTCACCTCGCTCTGTGCTGCGTTTCTGGTTGACACAAAATTTGGAGCTCAACAGTGCCGTCTCTGGACCGACTGGCCAAGGTGGCAGCCAAACCGGGGGGCCCGGAATGCACGCTCGGCGCGTACGCTCTCCGCCTCGCCAGAACCTGAGCCAACTTTCCACCGTACTTCCCTCCTAGTTTCCCTCCCAATTTCCCCGACAATTTCCCTCCACCAGGGTACTTCCCTACCAACTTGCCGCTGCTTCCCAGCTTCCCGCACGATCTGTAGGACGCCTCGGAATACCGTTTCCCAGGTGCTTCTGTGACGTTTGGACTAGATAAACTGCAACCCGCTCTAATTCTGAAAAAGAATTTTTGATTGATGTAACATGTACTACGGCAGCGTTGTTTTGAAAGCAAAACTAAATTACAGTAAATAAATAAATTTTCAAAAAATATACAACTTCTACAAGAATCAGTGAAGATTTATCTTCAATTATTATATCAAATGCCAAGATTCTCGTGTTTATTCGAAAACAAAGAACCATTTATCACAGCATATAAATAAAACTTATGTAACATATTACAACTTGCCAGTAGCGCCGTTAGCACACATGTAATACAAGTAGGCTATACATAAATAACATTTTTAGTCACATTCGATGGTAATGACAAATGATAGATGATTTTTACAACCATTAACATGCGGTGAATCTATATAAACAAGTTTAAGTATGAGCATGGGTCGTGGCGGTAACAAACAGTTTCAAGTTTTTTAAGTCAACAAATTACGGTGATTAAAAGTAAATAAAATGGGCTTTGAAAATGGATGGTAATGAAGAAATTAATTCATTGTAGGAATTTATATTCATAATTTTATTTTCTATTATTTTAGATTATTGATTTTTTTTAAATTATAGATAACACGTTTAGAGTAGGCACTTTTAGTGGGCCATGCCCGATATATTGAAGTAAAGTTTAGACGATCCAAAGCTTTGTTTTCGGACAGTGTTCGGGACGTATTAGCCCAAGTGTGGACGTGGAATCTAATATAGTCCCTTTTGTAGTAAGGGAATAAAAGAAATAATAAAAAAACAAAAAACCTGAACCTACATGGGCATGGGATGGACGGGTGTGGGCGCAGTGGCAGCGTTTGCGCTTGTAGGCGCGAGCATGTATGGCGCGGACACGTTGAGCGGAGCGGGCGCGGGCGCGGGCGCGGGCGCTGTAGCGGGCGCGTCGCTGGCCGAGGGGAATGCATATGCGTCGTTGGCATCATCGCATTCTAACTTAACCGCTTCGCTCTCCATCCGCCGCCGTTTGGACTCCTGTTCCCACTCCTCCAGTGAGTCAGATAATCTGCGCACATCCACCATTGCCACATTAACAGTTATATTTTTTTAGAAGCCCCAACAAAACAAGCAATGGTAATGAATTCTCAAATCTACCAAAATCGAGTGTAATGAAGGAAAAGTGAAAGGTATTTGGAGCAGGCCGAAACTGCTGTGTTTTGGATTTTTGTTTTTGAAAGGAAATAACAAATTATAGAAATGTTTTTATTTATTCAATAATAAGATGTGTGTTTCTAAGTGTTGGTTGGTTTTCGGTATAAACTTAAGTTATTTAAAAATATGATCAAACTCGTGTTTCAATTTGAATATCAAAGAACAGCTTTTTTTTGGCAGCCACTTCCGATAAAGAATAAGCCAACCAATCACATCTTTTTAAATTGTTCTAGATTGTATCTTTCCTCTCTTTACCAAGCCCATGTGCCTCTTCCCAACAGGGCTGGGCAAAATACATGCTACATCTTAATTGAAATACAAATTACAAAATACTTCCTTAAATGTATTTAAAATACAAAATACCAAATACTTTCTTGAGGTGTATTTGAAATACAAAATAGAAAATACTTTCATGGGGTGTATTTAAAATACAAAATACAAATACAAATTACAAAATACTTTATTAGTATACTTATCGCGACATGTGGAAACCAACAATTTCCTTCAAAGGATTTCCTTCCACAATACATATCTTGAAAAAGAAGTTTTAAATATTCAGTTTTAGCAGAAAAAAACTGTTAAACCAATACAACCATACTTCATTCAGAGCACGAAGTACGTATAATTATTATTAATATTCCTATACATGTCGAATACTGTATATACGTGTAAATGCCATTCATAACATGTTCACAACACAAATTAGTCGCTCACGCGATACGTTATCCCTATCTACTCGGCCTATAAAGGATGCAAATGTGCAATTTAAACCAACCGCAAAATGGCGGCTATAACCCTAGAACCCTGCTACTCTAAGTTATAACCGCGAAAAGATGACTTTGACGTCTTTGACAATACCAGCACTGTTGCCACCTGCAAATGTGCTTCTACTGCATTGAATACGAGTATTTAAGATGTCGTGAGTGTTGTGTGTCGGTGTAGTGAGAACCCTAGTGCACAAATAAGTAATGAAGATAAAGTGCGGGTAGTTAGAAAAACTCGCACAACTAGAAGATGCTGACACCCGCCTCTTCAGTCCTTGCGAGACCATGGACGTTGCAATATGTCCGAAAAGTCGAGGTAAATAAAATATGTTTATACGTGAATAAGTCCCGAATTAAAAATCAAATAATTTCATACTTCATTTTTTGAACGTTCCGCTTTACACAAACGGACGCACGCACGCACGCACGCAGGCACGCACGCACGCAGGCAAGCACGCACGCACGCACGCACGCACACACACGCACTCACACACACACATATACACATACATACATATAATAGATGCTCTTTGCAAAAAAGTGATTGATCACTTGCATTTACTTCGTCATTTACAACGACTTCAATCTAATTACATATATTTTTTGTATGTAGTTCTTCACATATAATACCACCACGAAGGTTGGGGGCTCAGATAGGGGCTCGATTAGGGGGTCCGGTTGGAGGTCGGTTAGGTGTCGGTAGGGGGTCGGTTAAGGTGTCGGTTTGGGGGTCGGTTAGGTGTCGGTAGGGGGTCGGTTAGGGTCCGGTTGGGGGGTCGGTTGGGGACCGGTTAAGTGGTCGGTTGGGGATAGGTAGGGGGTCGGTTAAGGGGTCAGTTAGGGGGTCCACCCCTAAAGGGCCCCTAACCCGCCCCTGACCCACTCCCTAACCAAACCCTTAACCGACCCACTAACCGATCCCCTAACCAGCAGACTAACTGACCCCAACCGGCATCCTTAACGGCCCCCTAACCAACCCCTAACCGACCCCCTAACCGCACCCTAACCTACCCCCTATCTGACCTCCCAACCGACACCCTAAACGATCCCCCAACCGGCCCCCTAGCCTACCCCCTAAACGACCCCCGAACCACCCCCAGCCGACCCCTAACCGACTCCCTAACCGACCCCTTAACTAACCTCCTAACCGACCCCCAACTGACCCCTAACCGACCCTCAACCGGCCCCCTAACCGACCCCCTAACACACCCCAAACCCATCCCCTAACCCATATTCGTGATGACACTTTTACTTGATAGTTTCGGTTTTAATTGTTAGTTTCAATTGTTTCTTAGAACAACTAATAAAATTAATCTAATTGCAATTAAAATCAATTCAATCGAAATCAGTTGCAATTGAATAGATTTTTTAATCTGATTGAAATTTAATTGATTGACGTACTTGTTTCGGCAGTACATATACTAAAATTGGAACGATACAGAATTATACGTAATCTAAAAAATGAATACAGCTATGGAATAGACGAGATACCATCCGCGCTTATAAGGGTATGTGCAGACGAATTGACGTTTCCGTTTTATACGCTTGTCAATCAGTCTTTTGCCGAGGGTGTGTTCCCGGATCTTCTTAAACAATCCCTGATAAAACCGATCCTCAAAAAAGGAAGTAAGTATGATCTGAGTAATTACAGACCGATTGCATTATTGCCCGCGGCTTCGAAAGTATTTGAGAAGGCAATGTGTAGCCGCCTATACTCTTTCTGTGAAAAGTACAATATATTTGATGAGTCGCAGAATGGTTTTCGGAAAAATCGTTCAACTACACTTGCGACTTACAAATTTATGCAAAAGATTCTGGATACACTAAATGAAAAAAGTATGGTATCGGTATCCTATTGGACATGTCAAAGGCATACGATAAAGTTCGGTATGATATCTTACTGGATAAACTTTACGGAATGGGTATACGAGGTGACATTCATAAATGGTTCGCATCCTATTTAGAAAACAGAATCCAGTATGTAGAAATCGAGTATTATAACTATGGGACAGGGGAAATAACTCAAGTCAGATCTGAGCCCCAAAACATGAACAATTCGATACCACAAGGAAGCGTCATTGGGTGCATACTATTCCTGGCTTATATAAATGACCTCCCAAAAGTAATAAACGATTCATGTGTTCTTTTCGCTGACGACATCTCAATATTAACCTCTTGTAAAAATAGTGACCACTTAAATCAAACCCTTCATAATACACTAACTACAATTGTAACATGGATGAATGATCACAATTTAGAAATTAACTTCACAAAAACCAAAATTATAGAATTTAGACCCTATCAAAAACCATCACTAAATATTAATTTTTCGTATAACCAAATACAAATAGAAACCGTCAATACATTTAATTTACTCGGAATAGATATCGATACAAATATAAATTGGAAGCAGCATGTACAAAAAATCACAAAAAAGCTATCTAGTTTTACTTACGCCTTAAAAGAAATAAAGAAGTCAACAAATTTACAAACTGCCCTAAGTGCTTACTATGCGTACGCTTATGCATGGCTATCATACGGCATCATATTGTGGGGCAATAGTACAACTGTAAATGACCTCTTTATTAAACAAAAAAACTGCGTAAGAATACTAGCAAATATATCAAGAACAGAGAGCTGTGAACCATTCTTTAGAAAATACAAAATCTTAACCCTAACATCAATTTACATTTTGGAAGTTTGCAAATTTATAAAAAAGTACCCACAATTTTACACTAAACTGCGAGACGAACCAAGACACCATCCCACAAGATACGGAAATAATCTTGTAACACCGTTCTCAAAATTGGAAATGCATAGATCGAGCCCATATTCAATGTCGATAAAAATATACAACAAACTACCGGAGCATATAAAGCAAGAAAATAAACAAGTATTTTCATAAATAACTTAAAAAACATTCTTTCTAATAAAACTTACTATACAGTGCAACAATATCTTGATGATAAATTGCTATAGCGTTGATATGCCTCATTCCTGTTTTGCTGTCCATTATTATCATATCCATATTACAGGATTCATATGTCTTTCATTGTACCTATGTAATAATAATATAACGCACACACTCAACATAGCCCCGCACTAGGGAAACCCTGTGTCGCGGGTGCCATGGACACACACATAGACAACCACAAATTACACCCAAACTCACGAGAGAAATAATTACAGGCCATACAAATATTTCTCCCGGCTCAGGAATCGAACCTGGGACTTCTGCGTGGCAGTCCGGCATGGTAACCGTTCGGCCACGGAGGCAGTTAATGTGAATAAATAAATAAAATGAAGTAGATAACATGTTATATAATGGAGTAAATGCAATGTTATTATGGTCGAATTAAAACTAGTATAACACATAATTGTACAATTAATAATATGTTTATATATATGATAAGAAATATAATAAGAAATTTTGTAATAATAATTATTGCTAAGGCTTGAAATGTAATTAAACCATATTATAAGTTTTTATATTGCTATGCCCTTACAGTATATTACATGTATACGTAATATAGTGTAAAATTTGTATTATTTATATTATGTAAACTGCAATAAATATATTATCATTATCAATGCCCAACACTGATATAAATCTATGCACGTCACAAAATAGGCTGTACATTGAAAAGAAAAAAGTATTTTGTTGAAATGTATTTTGCAACGAAAGTATTTGAAATACAAATTACAAAATACATTACGGTCAGGTATTTGAAATACCAATTACAAAATACATTTTTAGGGAGTAATTGAAATACAAATACAAAATACGTATTTGTATTTTAAATACGTATTTCAAATACAAGTAATTCAAATACTGCCCAGCCCTGCTTCCCAATAGCATCCAATTACAGCCCTTCTATATACAATTGTGTATCTAGATTTATTTTGGAAAAAAAATTAAAAATTTAGCTGTTGTTATAATAATATAATATTTCTCCTACATTTACGCTGTTTATATTGTAACTGTGTTTATATCTCATAGCCGCACCTCTCCCTAACATATTTTTAGTCTTTCTCCATTTTCATAATTCCGTTTCCAAATTTCATTCAACTTTCCCCGTTTAAAAACAAA